TTAAATTTATGCTGTCATTTCTCAAGGAAATTATTTAAGTCATTTTTTACAGACCAATACTACTACTTCAATGTCTACACCGGCCGAAGCCAGTGGGAACGGCCAACTAAACCAGCAGATCCTGCTCAAGCGGACCTGAAAGAAGTGCGCAAGAGAAATTTTTTATTTGAAAAATAATATACCAGAAATTTAAATAATTTTGTTTTACATTATTCTTCGACGAGACCTACCAGGACTATCATAAATTCTACCTTTAATGGATTTTTAATGCCAATTTTACTTTAGGTTAGGTGCCTTCATTTACTAGTGAAACATTCTGGTTCTAGACGCCCCTCATCTTGGCGCACTGACAACATCACTCGTACTAAGGAGGAAGCGCGGAAAATTTTAACCGGTGTGTTTGTTCCCTTAAGTTTCTTAATACACCTTTTTATTTGTTCTTTTATATTTTAAGAGTATAAAAAACAACTAGAAGAGGCGCCAAATATGAAGGCTAAATTCAAGGAACTTGCTAGCGAATTCAGCGACTGCTCATCTGCAAAACGAGGAGGGGATCTGGGGCGCTTTAGACGCAGACAGATGCAGAAACCCTTCGAAGATGCAGCTTTTGCACTAAAGGTTCTCAAACTCTGACTGAATTAGTCAACTAATTGTGTTTTAACTTATTCAAAATCTTTTTTTCAAATTAAATGATATCTTTTAGGTAGGCGAACTCAGCGATTTGGTGGAAACGGATTCTGGGGTACATTTGATATACAGGCTTGAATAATCGATCTCAAAAACTTAAAAATCTTCTTTTATTTGTGATTTTTGAGGCTTTATTATGAATTCGTTGAATATGCAGGTAATAAGAACATTACCCTGATCTTTGTTTTCTAAATATTTTTGGAATTCGTAACTTATTTCTCTTCTTGTTCTGTTGGTGAAATTAAAATAAGTGACATTCTGTCGGAACGGGTTCGCAGAAACTATTTCTAAAAGATATTTGGAGAAACTCATTACTTAACGCTAAGGTGAATTTCCTATTGGCCATAACTCATTTTATTTATCTTACCCAAGTGTTGTAGCACTGACATTGGAAAGTCGTTTACTTTTTTTTGCTTCAGCTTGGGATGCTTGCCCTTGCTTTCTGATAAAAGAAATAAAACCTTTGCTTTCATTTCTTTATTGGATTTTTTAGACCTGATTTGCTATTTTCTCATGGAGTATTTCCTCTGCATGAGGAGCATTTTGCTTACTATCCACTTGGAAGGGATTGCCAGAATAATTAATATTAACATTTTTGGTTTATTGACCACGGAAAATCACTCATCTAAAAATTCATCTGTCTCATTCATATCAAACCTTATCAGACTTAATTACTGCTTACATTTCTTAATCATAGAAAGCAGCTTACAAGAAATTTAGAATACAGCGTGCTTTTGAATAAATATTAGTCTTAATCTGACTGCCTGTCACCAAAGATAACAAGAAGCGGCAAAACAGGTGACGCACGACATGTTCGCCGGGCAGAAGGTCCTTGATTTGGACAAGAACTAATATCCATAATTCAGCGCATCTTAAATGTTGACTCTCCTTCCTTGCAGACAGCAGCTTGGGAGTGAACTTTTAAAAATCTCCATGTCAGCACCATTTGCCAAAAAATTTTAGGTTTTTTAAAGCTTTTTGTCAGAGCGGACGCGAAGGGTGAGAACTGCATGTATTGGACGAAAATATCTCAAACTAAACTCCAGAAGCTGATGTGCCTTGGTTGCCTGTATGTTGGTAATCTGATTGCTTAATAATTCTAATCACTTGTTTATTCTTGAAAAATTACCCGTTGGCAATGGGTATCAAATGTGTTCATCAAGTTCTTTCGTTGTATACTGACTAAGCAAATATTCTAGGGCCAGCGTAAGAAAGTTTCTGAATGTTCAGAATTAAAAATGCTGATGCCTTTATTTCTAACGCAATAAAAACGGTTTACCGTATAAAAATCAGTGCGGCGGGACTACTGGGAATTCGAGTGGTTTCTGGGCACTTCAACTTGTTCAAACTTAGGGCGGAATGTTGTTCAGTTTCTAATGGTCGTAGTATTTCCTTAAAGACTTAGACTTCAGATCGTTAACGGTACTGTTTAAACAGTATGCTGTGAAGTTTGGCGTTTTAAGAGGCTTTTTTCACAAATAAACTTCAATAATGTAATGAAATCTTGCCAAAGTAATCTTTCTCAAAAGCCAGGAAGGAATAAACTTTTGTATGAATCAGTGAAGTAATAGTGATTTGCACTGTTACTATCACTAAGAATATAGATAGGGTTTTAACAGTTATGAACTGATTTATGGGCATGTACCGGTCGTTTAACAGATTTCTAAAAATCATTATCTACTAAACAAAAAAAAAAATTTTTTTATGTTGCGCGAGAAAGTCCTGCTTTAACTTGAGCTCTATTTTGCCAATTGAATCTCTATACTTTAGAAGAGTCCAACTTTTACCTGTTTTTAAAATAATTATAAGCTATTTTGAGAAAGCAAAAGTACAGTGAACACTGGTATAAAAAATATGGCTGCTTACCAATATTAGAAAAAAGAGAAGCATTTTGTAACCAAAAATCTTATAAGACCGGAAAATTTAGTTGTTTTTTTTTTCAAATTCAGATTATGTAATTATTTACATAGTGGTTTACAAAAACAGGTCATTTTTTCTTGATACTAACAAAAATTCTTAATTTTTAAAACGTTACTGCAGCCACACATGCTTACTTCCAAACATGCTTTTTTGACCTTGAACCTGGTTTCGGTTTTTCAATAAGGTTCTTGACTCCGTTTGATTTGTGAATAACAACATCAAACTTGTCCAAACACTTCTTTATAACTTCCTAACGGTCTAGTGTTAAAATTTCATCATTCCTTCGCAAAAGCACTGCATGGGTAGATTGTGTAACGACTAATACGTGCACTACAACTGCAATTTTTTGAACCTGATAGGCTTGAAATCTACTTTTGCTAAAACTTCCTCTCTTCAGTTTTCGTAGTTCCTGACTGTTTTCTTACCAACCTAAAAACACCTGCTACTCTTAACTCTCCGGAGCTTTTTCAACATTTGGTCAAGAAATTGGTGATATTTCACTCTTGTTTCGTTCCAGGTCTTATTTTAAAAATGAAAAAACAGTAACTTCCGCAAATTATTGAAGTGACTTCTTTTGAAAATTTGACAGACATTAAATCGCAATTGTTTCCTTGCCAAGTATAATCGGTAACAAAACTTCTGAAATCCAATTTAGGCTTCAAAGTTATGAATAAATTGGAATAAAATTTTACGGAGAAAAAGGAACAAGAGGTGGAACTGTTGTGCTGAAAAGAAATCGATAATTAATTTTGATCACTAGAAACTCCTAAACATTTCTGTTCTTGTAATCACAATTTTTAGTTTTCTTTTTTAATTTTAGGAAAAGTTTTGGCAAGAACGACAAAGAGCTTTTCTTCCTAATTGCCTTTTGTGTTTTTTCATGTAGCTACTGAGAACTGTTCCAGTGAATTTTTCTAGTGATTTTTTCATAGTAAAGTAAAGATAAACATTAATGTTGAAGAAATAAAACAAGACACAAAACGCTTTTACAAAGAACGGTTTTATATTTTTATTATCATATGAAGTTATATTTTTAATGATATTAAATTAAACTTAATGCAGTCTTTAGTGAACAGAAAAGCAGAAAATTTTTTGACAGCAGCCAATGAAAAAGGGTATTTGTAAAAAAATGGAGAAGAAATGAGCAGTAAAAAAGAAAGGAAAAAAACTAGGTCAAGAAAACGAAATAAAGCATTTCAAAAAATTCAAAAACATCTAGATACCATAAATAAATCTAGTGTGGAGAGAGCACAGAAAGATTTTGAAATTTTCAAAAAATTTGAAAATGAAGGTGAGATACAGTAGAAAATAAATTAAAACCGGAGTCAAAAGAGATCCTAGAACACTTAAATATTGTAGGCAGAACTAGAGGAGTAGAACAAAAGCTTCAGGATGTTTAGAAACAGACAAGAGGTACGGCAGAAATGCCAAAAACAAGAAAAAGTAAAAGAGAAGATTTAGGAAGCTCTAAAACAGTTTAGGGAAAAGACCAGTCTAAAGCTGATGATGTCACACCGAAATGTTTCAAGAGGTTTTAAACTAAAGTAATTGATTGATAGCTTTTTTTTCAT